TTCCCGAACAAATTTCGTTCAAATTAATTTATTTGACTTTTAAATCCAAAATACCAACCCCACAATTGGTTGATAAATAGTTGACCATGTTTGAATATAAACCACTGTTTATATTTTTTTGTTTATTTAGTTTGCGTAAAAAAATACACGACTTAATTAAGCAACTAGAGCAGATGCTGTGCTGGACTCGTATTTCCAATTAGGTGGCAAAACGCTCTTTGTTTTATAGTAGCGTGCCAGACGGTGAATTCTGGATTCTACCAGAATCAAACGGAACTTTCCGTCCTTGTCCTTGCGATTGCGCTCCAAGTGCTTACGGATAGCGACAGCCTTCTTGATCATATGGTATAGATCCTCGGGGATATCGGGTTTCAGACCAACTGATTTCATAATACGCAGGATTTTGTTTCCGTTAACGAAGCGCACTTGAGCCACGCCATGAGAATCACGCAAAATTATACCTATGATTGATGGGAGAATTCAGTAAACATAACCTCAAAGCGTACACAAATAATAAAATACCTATTTTTGAGGGCGTCAGGCCTTTCTTGCCAAGCTTCTTGATCTGTTCCTTGACGTCTTCAGCGTTGAGTTTCAGCCATGATGGCACTGTGCGTCTGTATGGCAAAGCTGATTGGGAAATACCCTTGCTGTTAATAAACCAAATTGTTAATCTCTCTTGAGAAAGACAAGAGCGGCAAGTGTTATCGTTGGCAACATGCGGTCATGGTATCTTTGTTGTCATATAATAGACGTGGATGTGTTTATCAATAATTAAACATGTTTTCGTACATTAAGCAGGTTAAAACAACGAGAACTCTTGCTCATTACAACTATCGAAGATGCATTTTACCCTGGAGCGTGCATACGACCCATGTTGAGTGCTCAGTTTTTGACACCGAAAAGAAAGTGGAGACTTATAAAACGCCGAATTGAGCAAAATGTCTACACATACATAGTGCACTGACAGAGTTGATTCATTTTATAATAACAGTTATCGGTAAGTCATTCCGAATAATCGATTTTTGTAAATGATATTCAAAATGAATTAATAATTGTGTGCATATTTACGGTGTTCAAGAAATTTAGTACAGAGTTTGAATTTAAAATACTTGGTTCAGACAATACAATATTGTCAAATCTTTTTTTATTTTAAATGAGACGCTTTCATTGCAAATGTTGTGGTTCATTCATTAGGTGTGACCAGCATTGAATCAAAATACTATCACACTGAAGCACTAGTTCATTTTAATAGCAGGTGGCGTCTGGCGGACATTAATTCAGCCCTGTGAGAAAATTTTTGCTTCAAAAACTGAGAGAGCAAAACAAAATCGTGAGTACATAGATGCAAACAGAGCTAATTGGAAAGAAGATTCAGTTCGCGCCATTCATAATTCCCAAATATTAAAATAAAAATTAGTTGCTCATGGGTTAATATTGATTGTCGTATTTTACTGCAGCCAAACTAATATCTGTGCTACCATTTTTGTTGTGGAGACGCTTGTCGCGCCCCATGTTAATTGTGTACGGTTTTTGTGTATGTGTGTATGTATACTGCGAGGCATGCACACAGTTCCGGAAAATATATACAAACTGTGCTTGTTTGTTTTGATATTCTCATTACGTCGTTAAAGAAACTGTGAAATGGATACAGATACTGAAGACGGTAAGTGTTCCCTAGCTACAAATTTTATGCATACAATCGCACATTAGTACAGGCTTCACAGATTGTGTACGTACGCTTGTATGCACGTGTGTGTGTACATATACACGTGTTGTTCGTGCGTTATGTATGAAGATCGCTTTAAGTCGTTCGCTCAATTGGTCAATCAGTTAGTTCCATGCTCTCGCCATGAACAGCTCTCATCGCCGGCGGCCAAGCGAAGATGGCGATACATTTTACGGTGATTAAGTCAGACTCTATTTTCATCTAAGCACCAAAAAGAAAAGAAACCAGCCAAAACAACACAATAGGCACTGATATGTGATATTCTGATATTTGCTTACAGACGCACCCAGCGCTCGCACAAATGATGTAATAAAACATTTGCTGGAAATTGCAAATAGTAGGCCTGGCACCAATGTGGCAAAGGCAATTCTTGCCTACCATGAGTCTGCCAGTCTGGCAACGCTTCTACTGGTCCTGGAAGAGGTGTCGAAAAATACAGATTTCTCAACAGATTTGCGTTTGTCGCTATCCTATGTAAGCAACTGAATTATATTGAATTCGGCTTATCACATTTGTAAATTTTTAGTATATGGATGAGTTCTTAAGGCAAGTCTCCGGGTCGAATGTACCTCGCCGTTCGGTCATTGCTGCCGCCGGAAATGTTCTTCAATACTGCAGCAAGGTCTATGGCGACAGAGTGGAGTACATGTACCAGGTGGTGGAGCATCAAATTGAGGCTCTGCTTATAGCAGATCCCAAGAAGGATGAGAACAGTAATAAGTGAGTAAAATGAAAACATGCCGTATGGGTTAGCGGCTCATCATGTGAAGATCTGCCGCCGTGCAGTCTGTCTCGTACATATTATCATGCTTGCTTATCGCCGTTTTTGTACTCTTGAGTCTCCGGCTACTTTAATTTTTTTAAGTATCGTCATGTTATTAAAGTGTTGATAATTTTCGTCACTGAACTAATTAATTTGAATGCGTTTTATAGTAATAAAGATGCTGGCAAACCGGAAGAGCCGCGGAAGCGTCGCGTTAAGAAGCTTACGCAAAAGGAATTTGATCCATTTTCATACAGGATGGAACCGAAAAAATTCAAAATAATGTCAGAGGAGAAGCGTTTTAGTCGCGTTGGCTTTGAGACAAATAGAAATAGAAACCGTACAATCGAGCATATGTATCAGGACCACACTCCGTTGCATATGTGGAAATACGCTTCTATTATGGATCCAGCCAACCCCTACGAAAAGGATGAGAAGAAGAACTACAAAGTATTCACGTACCACCCGGAGCCCAGATACAATACGCTTCTGCCGGATATTCAGTTCGACCGTCTAAATCTTATCAAGGAGTATGTGAACAGGAATCAAGTGAATGTGTCTGACACTCTAAACAGGAACATGAGTAATAAGGAATACTTAGATGAGTACATAGCGTTGGAGAATCAAATGCTAGCTTCTCGCTATGGGGAGAAGTCACTGTTGAAACGCACGTTGATTGCCGATGAAGAGGCGAAGACACAAACTCCAAAGCGTATGAGGCTAGAAGAGGATGTTGTCAATAGTGAGGATATGAGTGGAGTGCAGCCGGAGTTAACGCTTGACGGCTCGTTTAAAACGACGTTCGTGGATACAATGGAGAATCACCTTGAAGAATCCTTGCTGGCGGTGAATGATGCCAGCTGCATGGACAGCACGCGGTTGGATCAGCAGACGCAACAGCAGTCACACACTGAGGATAAACAGTTGCAATTAGAGCTCAGCTCAGCTAGAAAAGGCGACGAGAACAATGAGCAGTTGCTGCAAATCGATTCCGGCATTGGGATGGATGACATATGCGATACTCTGCCAGCAGGTAAGCTAAACACACACTCAATGTTTAATCGTGCGTTGAATCAGGCTGAGTGTTTTGTTAATCTTTTATGTTGTACACAAATTTTGACTCACATTCTTTGTTTATTTTTATTTTTATTTACGTATGTATTTCGTTTGTTGTCTGCTGCCTGCATCCAATTTGTGCAGCTCAATCTTTTGATGACGAGGGTGTTGTTCTTACAGATTTATTAGAGGAACAGCGTCTCCAATCACTGTCGCCCAAGGTAATGGTGCACGACATATTGCCCGGCGTGCCAGATAAAGCCAATCTTAGCGTTCGCGTCGATGCCGAAATGCTGGCACTCAGTGGCATCAATGAAACGATCGAGGAGGAGGTTGTCCAGGCGCAACGCGATGTGCACTTTGCAATTAAGCGAAATTTGTTCCTGCTGCCTGAAAAGAAGCTACGAAAAGATTGCATATTTAAGTTGAGCAAAGAGTTTGATATATTTAAAAAAGCGGTAAGCATATCTGACGATAGAAAAATAAAATACTAAAATCATTTGATTTATATATAAATATTTACAGCGCATCCCAGGTAAGCGACAGACAGAACCGAAAGCTGCCCCGGCGCCTAGGACTTTCCGCGCTTGCTCGCCCACACATTCCGCGACGTCGCTAAGTAGTTTCCTAGACTTGCCTTTGGATCAAATGGAATTCGATGCAGACGAAAGTATGCTAATAAATAAAAATACTGTTTATGTTTTACGTTTTGATATCTTTAATTTTTAGACTTTCGTGGCTTCAGGCGTCCTACTTACGATTCAGGCATTGACCAGGAGGAGGCTAGAATGTCAAACTCGCCTGCGGACGATGGCATTATCGTTGATGTGGACACTGATGGGTTCCCCGATTTAAATGCTATAGAAGCAGCATCGGATCCAGCTGAAATTCAACCAGCGAGATGCTTAGAGCAAACAGAGAAGGACATGACTTTACCGGAAATGCTATTGGAAGCCACAGAATTAAATCAAACACAGCCAATTGCTGACGATACAATCGCCCAGAATATCAAAAAAGAGAATACAATTTCTTTGTATGCCCCAGCTGGAAACATAACTGAGTTGTCGAATGTGGAAGTAGTCAATGAGTTGGATCAAGATTGGGATGCAGAGTCTAGCAATTCCAGCTTCCAAGAAAACTGCAATAGCATAGATGCTGAGACTGACGCCAAGGTAGGAAATATTTTGAAAGCGGTTTACTGCTATTGACCTAAAGCGTGATTCTTAATTATATCAAGAAGAAGAATTGTAGATGATTAGGCGACGTCAATTCGAGACTATCGCGCACTTTTAGATGTTTGAATTTCCCATTTTAATGATATCGTTGTGGCTTACAGATAATTGACTGGCATCGTAGGCTTGCGCCCACATTGGAAGCAGCACACGCCCGTCAAAATTTTAGTATACGGGATTTAAACGATGAGATAATAGCGAAGTGTCAGGAAAAAGGTGGAGTGGCCACTTTGGCAGACGTGCTGGAGGACAGGGATCCAACCAAACTATGTTGCTATATGCTGTCCTCATTGCTGCTGGTATAACATTGATGAAATACTTAATGTATTTTATAATAATTTTCAATATTTTATAACAGACGAATCAGCGCAACGTCGATCTACAAATAGATAAGCGCGATAAAAGCAAGCCCATTGAGATGAAACAGTTCAAAATGAATTTAATTAGCACGGAGAGGAAACAAGTGAACCCGGAGGATGATATTGGCAATATGAACAATGCCTGCCACCGAGGGAACCAGGTAGCGGGCACATCACAAAAAACGAAAACATCGCTTCAACAACAACAGCACAATCTTAAAACAGTTAATGTAAACACCGTGCGGCTTATAAAACCGGTTCCCAAGGCAAATGGACGTCCGGAGGATGCCGACTCGGGGTTGGCATCTTCGGTGTCTAGCTGGTCCCTTGATGCATAACAGACGATGTATACTAACTATTCGTGTGTGTCTTTAGTTTCTGTTTGATAGACTTAATCTCGATAAAGAATTTTGTAAATAGATGGGTATAGATGTGAATAGAAGGGTATATAAGTGTATAGAATTTGATGTCCGCCCCCGTAGGCATTCCTAAAGTAAACGTTTTATTTATGTATCACGAATATTTTAAAGCCACTAACTAAATTATTTATTGCAGCCACATATTTTGCATGGGCTGCTTCCCTTTTCGCAGGCATTCAACAAAGTTAAAAACCTACGTTGGCCGCGTAACTGACAAATGCATTATTCGACGATATATATATATATATATAATTATTTTTTGTCTTGACATATGTACAAAATCTAGTTCTAAGAGTATTTTTTTTATTTAAATTACAATTTTAGTGGTATTTTATGCTGGCAGTCTTTAGATTACTTTATGCTTTATAGTGTAAAAAACGAATTGAAGCAGTATTATTTAGGCTCGATTTCCTTATACTTGAACTATACCATTTTCTGTTTACAATTTTACTTTTCATTAGTTTTTTTTTTTTGCATTTATTTTTTTATTCACATTTCATTTTCTTACACTCAATTCATTTTTGGTTTATATTTTTAATTTAATTTTTTCTTTTTACTTTCAATTTATCATGCATTATTCATTTATTTCTTAGTTTTCCATTTCATTTAATCATTATCATTTATTTTCCCTTAACTATCTTTCAGCAGGAAAATGTTTCAAAGAAAAAGTTTATGAAATTTAAGTCAACTAGAGGGGCATATTTTGGAAATCATGTAGAGCTGATAGTACTACAAAAATCAAGTACCTGATCTCCTAGTGTAGCAAAAACATTTTTTTAAGAAAAACATATATTGTGTACACCGATGCAAAAATTTATCTATTTACATCAACATATATTATATATACATAAATATGAATGTGCAAAAACAAAGCAACTTTTTTTTTGTAGTAAATTAAGAAAGCGTATAAATGCAATGAAAAAAGTAAAAGAAACTTAAAAGCAAGTTGTTTGAAATTGGGATGTTTGGAAATTATACGTATTAAAAATTCGAGATATTTCAATACAAATTATATTGAATTTAATTTGCGCTAAACCGAGTTCTTGATTACAATTGAAAGATTATGGGATGCAGTACAAATTAAAATTCTAAAACTAATCGGAATCGCTGCTGCCATCTGATTTCGTCTTTTCCTCGTCCTTCTGTTCTTCAGTCTTGTAGTGGCGATATTCTTTTTTGAGCTCCCACATATTCTTGTGCGGGTTCTTCATGTTGTAATCGCAGACATCTTTAAGTATCTCCTTCAGGTAGCTAATAGGTTGATTGGTTATCTTCACTAGGTCCTTAATATTATAGTACTGATGCTTCTCAAATGCATGGAAAAGCATATCCATCACAGCATTCTTATCATCACGTGCCTTCTTGCCCTCTGCCTTTTTGCGCTCACGATACTCGATCTAAATTATAAAATATTATTATTAATTGTCTCCGCGAAATAGTCAATGCAGTTCGTCTTACATTGTGCGCATGATCCTTAACTGGCTTGTAGTTCTGCACAATCTTGTCAATTGGCTGCACTCGGCGCTGTGGCTCGGAGGCTTTACGAATGGACTCAAGCTTCAACTTCATGTAGCAAGTGTCGGCAATAGGCCGGCACTCGAGTTTTTGGACGATACGCCCCTCCATATATAGCTTCTCGCTGTCTGTCGTCGCGGCAGCTACAGCTGATCCATTTTCCTTTCCGTTGTTGGGGCCGGCAGTCGCTCCTTCTGTTGGAGCCATGTGGGAGAAAACGCCTAGGGTCTGCTTCGTAACCTGTGACACGTCGAGCACATGCTCTGTGGGTATTTTCTCGTCGGGATCAAGGGCGAGCACTGCAGGCGTGAGTGAAAGTGAAACTTGGGCCTTCTGCCCAGGTGTTTTGCTGATTCGCAGCTTGCCAACGTCCATGTTGGACGGTGCTTTTTCCCATTTTTGTGCAATGTATTTGGGCACTTTGACTAGCCAAACGCCACGACCAGCGTTTGACAGATCTAGCTCCTTGTCGATGATTTGCACTTTGTCCTTCTCGTCCTTAGACATGTTGAGGCTCAAATGTTTTATTAATGCAACGGCACGTAAAAGATGCTATCGCAAAATGTCGATTGGCCAGCTGTGAAGGTAGAGCTGCCACCGTGGTAAAAATGTACAACAAGAACAAAGTAAGAAAAGGTTGTGCAGAAAACCGGCGATATATGTGAATATGTACATCTTGGGTTGCCATCGTGGTAAAAACCTAAGGAAATGTCAAGTATACCAAAGATGACAGGGTTGTGCAAAGAAACGTTCAGCCAAAATTCATGACGTCATAGTAAACAAATGAATCGAATTCTTATTTCATATTAACATGTGTGGTTATATTTATGTTCAATATTCAATATTTTATACCATATACCATACGTATGATAGCTATATGATATTAATAATTTATTTGTTGCATTGCATCACTAACCAGAGTTCTCTGTTTTCTCTGGTTAGTGATTGCATTTTATTTGATTTCTTAAAAAGAGCTTGCCAACTCGCTTCGTTTAGACATTGTCAGCTGTTGTCATTTTACACGCTGGCTTTCTGCTCGGGGTAATTGTGTGGGAAAAAGCAGTTGGAAAAGGGGATAATTAAATATGGCACCTCCGGCAGCAAGGGCGCGCTATAATGCCAACAAGGCGGACAACCAGATACTTACCAAAAAGCCACCGAAACGTCTTAATGGCAACAAAGATGCTGCCGGCGTCGCCGTAGCCGGCAACAAAAAGGAGAAGAAGAAGAAGTACTTAAATATACCATAATAGCAAAATGACAATAACAACTAAGAACTCCTTATTTTTGACAGTAAAAACTCTGCGACCGCGCCAAACGCAACCGATAAGACACAGTCCAGCCCCAATCCGATTATGCCCAGTGTTCATACGGCCTTCAAAACATTTGTGAGCGCGCGTCTCTGCAGCGCCATTTGGGCGTACATTTCCGACTGTGATGAGACTTTCAATTACTGGGAGCCGCTACACTACATAATCAACGGCCATGGTCTGCAGACCTGGGAATATAGCCCACAGTTCGGTTTGCGTTCCTATACATATCTGCTTCTGCAAGGCGTTCCAGGTTGGATCTATCAGAAGCTGTTCAATCCAAGTCCTATATTGATTTTCTATATGGTTCGCTGTATGCTGGGATTTGGCTGTGCGCTCATGGAGCGCTTTATGTACAAGTGAGTTATCATCTTGTAGAGATTGATTTCAGTTATCCATTACTTGCTTTGCAGATCTATTTGTCAGGAGTTTGGCATACACGTTGGTCGTCTCTGGCTGATCTTCCAGTTGTTCAGTGTGGGCATGTTTGTGTCCAGTACTGCACTGTTGCCATCATCGTTTTCTATGTACTTTGGTTGTTCTGCCCTAGCTGCCTGGTGGCAGCAGCGTTATAGCCTAGCCATATTCTTTACCGCAATCTCAGCACTACTCGGCTGGCCCTTTGCCGCGCTAATTGGAGTTCCATTAGTGCTGGAATTGCTGTTTCGGCAGCGGGATTGGCGCACCTTTGTACAGTGGACATTGATCTCTGGCCTAACAATCGCACTTCCCATGATTGCCATCGATACGAAATACTTTGGCAAACTGACCTTTGCGCCGCTAAACATCGTCTGGTATAATGTGTTCACTAGCCATGGACCGAACATCTTTGGCACCGAGCCCCTCAGCTACTACATCCTCAATGGTTTCCTCAACTTCAATATTATTTGGGTGAGTCACAGGGCTAAATTTAAAGTTATATTAGATTCTTCATGGCATATTCCGCATTTTCAGCTATTGGCACTCCAATCACCGATTATGTTGTTCATGGATTATTTAATTGTGCCTGCCAAGTTTAAGTCGACGCTCAACTTTCCGCGCTACATATCTCTGGCGCCTCTTTATCTCTGGCTGGTGGTTTTCATGGCGCAGCCTCACAAGGAGGAGCGTTTCCTGTTTCCGGTTTACCCACTGATCTCCCTCTGCGGCGCCATCACTGTAGACGTTTATCAGCGCATCTTCTTCCGTATCAAGACGCTGGTGTTTAAGATTAAGTCGGGCATTCACTACTTAGACCACAGCATGTTCATTGCAATTATCGTGATGGTGGCCAGCACAGTATTGGGCCTCTCGCGAGTATTTGCTCTTTATCGGAATTATCATGCGCCAATGGATCTAATGCTTGAGCTCAATCAGTTTAAGAATTCGCCACAGTATCGTCCAGATGAAATCTATAACGTATGCATTGGCAAGGACTGGTATCGCTATCCAGGCAGCTTCTTTTTCCCGGCACACAATTTTCGATTGCGTTTTCTGAAGTCGGAGTTCCGCGGCATGTTGCCCGCTTATTACACGGAAGGCGCCAATGCCACTCAGGTGGTGCATCCTTATTTCAATGACCAGAACTTGGAGAACGAGCATATGTACTTTGACTACGATCAGTGCCACTTCCTCTTGGACTTTGATGAGGGCAAATACACAACACTTGAGCCGAGCTATTCGAGGCGAACGAAGGACTGGTCTATCATGAAAACCTTGCCATTCCTCATACCGGAAAAATCACACAAGGTGCTGCGCGCCTTCTATGTGCCATTCCTGACCGACAATCACATAAAATATGGAGATTTCAATCTACTTAAGCGTAAAAAGACGCGCAATGGCAGCTAGAACCTAGAATCAAAACGATATTTTTCATCTAACTGTCATTTACAAAATTTATCTAATTTATTTTTCCCAAATAAGTTTGCTTTCCTATTTTGTATTTGGTGCAATTAAAAGTCCTTTTTATGTATCTTAATTTTAGTCAATAAGTCAAATGGTTTTACTTTTGTTGCGTTACCTTCAAAAATGCATGCCAAAGCTGTACACATTATGCTGAAATGAACTAGAATTTAAGACCAAACGAAATAAAAGCAATCGATTCTAAAAATCAGTGTCTAAAATCAGTATATAAACCATATTAAGTTTCACGTCATCTTAATACCAGTCCTAGTCAATTAATTCTTTTACCATCCAATTAGTTCGATAGAGTTTATTCTTAAGCTTGTCGTTAAAAAGTATCATAAAAAGTGGATAGCAAAATTGTACCATGGAATTCGCTTGCTTAAACTACAAGTGCTGGATGTTTACAATGCTATATTTGGTCTACTACATTTACAATGATTAGGCATTATATCTAAACGCGACTTAGACTTAGACCTATTATAGTTTATATTAAGGCATGCAATATTTACAGGGTGAAATCGTCTCCAGCTCAACTTGTACTCAACTAGAAATAGACTGTCAAATTGTTTTCGGATGAGCCCATCGTATCCGACGCGGTCATCAGATTGGAAGCAGCTGCACCTCCATTCACAGCCCCATTCACTGTCGTGGTGATCGTCGTGATGCCTCCTGTCACAGCGGCCACCGTTTTGCGATTGTTGTTCTCCGGCGTCGTCTGGTGCTGCTGTTGGCCCTGCTGCGAGAGGGAGTCGTGCTCGATCTCGTCTTCCTCGTAGAGCTGCCCGTTGGCAGAGGCGCGCGATACGATGCCTGGTAAGAAGACTACTTATAGTGAATGTTTTGGGCTGATTGGGATAGTGGGGATTAAATCGGACAATGCTTACTGCGCACCGTTGCCGCATAGCTTTCCCGCTGTCTCTCGCGCTCCCTTTCACGCTCTCGCTCCAACAAATTGCTGGCACTGCTGAGCACCATGCTGCTGCTAGCGCCATTTCCTACATGATGCATTCCATTGTTAATTGGATTTGCCATGGTGATGTTGCTGCTGGGATGTTTCATATGCAAAACGGAGACACCACCACTGGTGACAGTGGCTCCATTGCCGTTGCCGGCCAGTTTTTCATGTGTCACCAGGTTGGCAGAGGACACGCTGCTGTGCGCTTGGCTGTGCACACGATTGCGTCCGAGGCTGAGGCCGCCGGGACTGCTCTTCCGTTGCCTCTTGGAACGCACAATATAACAGCTGAGCGCCATGATGATCAACAGGAACAGACCAACAATCATGCCAAACATGCCCAGCATGTTGTTGTTCCAGCCGGACTGGGCGAGGGTTAGTCCCTCCATTGTAACGCTGACTGGGACAGAGGTGCTACGTGGCGGTACACCCGAGTCCGTGGCAATAGCAATCAGGTGGACTGTGGACTCGTTCAGACTTTGTAGCTGCTCCGGGCGCATGTAGATGTTTCCTGTTGCATCGATTTCGAAGAGACCCGCATGTTGGCCGCGCAACGACAGCTCCAGCTTGTCGTTACGGTCTCCATCCGCCGCCTCCACCTTTCCAATTAGCACACCCTCAAAAGAGTCAGCCCGTGATTGCAGTGCCTGCTGGAATCGGATTGAAACTATTCAGTAATATTCATATGAATTGCATCACACTCCTCTAACTTACGCTCTTGGGGACCACAAACTCGTAGTGTGTCTCCCGGAAGCGTGGCTCCCAGTCGTTGACATCGATCACCTCCAGTGTGACCTCGGCCGTTGTGCTGTTGGTTAGGCCATCGCTAGCTATGACCTGGAATTCGTGTTTGGTCATCTTTTCGTAGTCCAGCGGTTTGGCTAGCACCAATTCCCCTAGTGAGCCAATGCTGAAGAACTGCGAATTGATGGGATCTGGAATAGTGTACTTCAGGTGCTTGCCAGGCTTGTTGGTGGGAAGGGCCAGGATGCGATTGCCCACAGCCGTGTCCTCGCGTATTCGCATCACAAAGCGCTTCTGAACAAACGCGAGTGAGCTGAGATCACTGTGGGTGCCCGGCCGGGTTAGTTGCACTGTGGTCAGAGCGTATCGATCGGGATTATCTATCTGCGTAGCCTTTACCACCAGCGTGGCGCCATGCGTAAGGTCTGCGTAGCCGATGGGCGCTAGTTGTGTAATCACTCCATTATGTGGATGCACGCGGAAATACTTTGCATCCTGCGATTGCACAATGGTGTATTGGATGGGCGCACAGATGCCCTCATCCTGATCAACGGCTTTTAAGGGTTCTGGCCGCACACGCAGCTCGCCAGCCCGACCATCTGCGGGTAGCTCAGCACTGTAGGATTCACGTAGAAACTTGGGATTTTGATCATCTGCATCCGTTATGACGACGCGTAGAAGCGTATCCGAATGCCGTGGGGGTGTGCCCTGGTCCTGGGCTCGCAATTTCACCGTGAAGTTTTGGAGTTGCTCGTAATCGAGCGCCTTCTTTAGCACCAACGTGCCCTCAAGAGGATTTAGAAATTGAACCAGCTCCGCATAGGGACCGGGAAGTACCTGATACTCAACCGTGGAGAAGGGCCCCGGCTGATCGGCATCCTCGGCGCGGGCGCCTTGAAGTATACGTGTACCTGGCACCGTCACCTCCGAGAGGGTCAGCGTATAGGGAGTGCCAATCCATTGTGGTGCATTATCGTTGACGTCCGTGACGCGGACATTGACGGGAATGACGAAGCTCTGCAACAATAAAGAACAAAGGCTCCACATTGATTGAGGAGTTTAAAGATAAACACCTTTTGAAACCTGCGGCGGACTGCCGAGCAAACCAACAATAGGCAAGTCCTGGTCACTGACCCCAAAAGTGAGTTCAAAGCGCCAACAGCTTAGGAATACGTGCTAAGCACTATGCCCTCCACTGCTCCTCAACACGTCTCACCCTTTCAAAAACACTGCATATATTTGCATGTTTAGAGGGCTCACAAAGCAACCCCAAAGAAACTACGGAAGTACTAATGGCTAATTTATGGCCACTGCCTAGGCCCACAGTAAACCACAGGCCTCGTCCTCATCGTCGTCCTCTTTATCCCAATGGAAGTACAAGTTTAAGTTGGTTTCTGTTATGTTGATTCTAAAATTGAAATTGGCGTCGTTGTCTGAAAAGTTTTCAATTGTTTATAGAGTACAAGAAATAGCCGCAACTTCTGTAAGTTCCCTCCCAATGGGGCTGAATGGGCCAAATGCGAGTGTGAACATTCCGAATTGTGTTTACCCAATTTCATTTAACTACGTCGCTTGTACTTCGAGATTACGCCCCTCAATACAACGGCACGCACAGCCAACGTCAAAGTCCACTTCCATAGGAAATAAGTGGAGCCAGTGTCGATTTAGGTTAATTGGTTGCCCATTACCGTATTGGTGGAGTGCATCGCATGAATGGAGGAATGAAATTGCTGCAGGTGCTGTATGCGTCTAAGAGTTTGACTCCAAGAGCATTCGGGGAATAACGTAATTGAACTCCATGTTAGGGTTAATAAAATTGGTCACTAGGCTCGATTGAAAACTATTGCCATTTAAAGACAAAAAGTAAGAGTAAAAGTTCTCCACTACAATATGGGAGATTTTCCGTTTCAGGTGCCATAAAGTCGAAAAAAGTTGGTGAAATATTAAGAAATTTTTGTTTATAGCGGGGGTCGATTCTTTCTTAAAGTCAGGTGATCTGTTGAAGCTTTGGTACAACAAATTTTCTGCTATTGCAAGTGCTCAAATTATTAATTTCATTTAAAATAATAAAACCAATATGAACAAGAAAGAAAGCTCTAGTCGAGACTGCTCGACTACGAGATCCCC